ACATGCGTAACGAAACAACGGTGTCTTCCTATTTCCGCCGTTGTCAAAAACGTTCTTGTTTTCGCGAAAGCATCAATCTTCATTACCCCCTTCTCCAGTGCTTAAATTGCTCCGGTGCTTCTCAATTTTTAAGATAAATTACAATTTTAGCCGGAGCGCACCGGAGCCCTAAATAAGATGAACTCCGGTACTTCTTTTCATAAAACTGAACTACAATTTAAAGGGGGAAAAAATAGAATTCCTAACGTTTTAGTTTAACAATAAGCAGACTTTGCAATTCTCTATTTCCCTAGAAATACGAACTCATGAGAACATGAGACGTTCAAGTAAAGTCCCCTCACTCACATGCGGAAACCTTTCCCTTTAAGAAAAGCAATAAATTTTGGGTAGTTTGCTTAGGAATGCGTAAATTTCTCGCCATGCCATTGTATCTAGTGTATTGTTATCGATGCTTAAAGTTAGTTATCCTCGCAGAAAGGAAAATTTGTGTTCTTAAATGTGCGTAAATAAGAGTGAAATACTGAGATAAACTACTCAAGCACGTCCTATACATCGTCTTCCCACAGTATTTACTAATGGGGGGGGGCAGCGTAACCAGCAACTTTACATTTAGGAGTCCGATTCGTTTATCCCTCTACTTGATGGCTATAATTATATTAATCTTTGAACTGGAATGAACTGGAAGTTGATCTGTCAGCACTATCCAGGGCACATGTATTTATTTTATTTGGCTTATAATTCCTTACTAAATGCAGTATTTCATCTCGATGTGCTCCGTCTTTAATATGATTTAAATCAAATTCCTCGTCCTTATAATTCGCTTCCGATAGTGAAGAAAGTGACACAGAGGTTATTGAAAACGAAAAAATTTTGATTGACAAATTAGTCCGTATTCTCGACACAGCAATTATAGGACTTCAACAGCGGAACTTTGTAACTGAAGAAGAAATTATGTCCGTTTATAGAATTAAAGCGAAAGTATTATCACATAAAACGAAGCAACTTAAACAACTTACATTGAGAAAATTAAAAAAAAGAGCCCAAAAAAGCCCAGTAAATGCGGGCAAATTGTTTTTTTTTATTTAAAAGTTACGTTATTTTATAAAATTTGAATTTATTTTATGTATTTAAATTGCTTGGTGTTCCATTTAAATTCGCAATTATTTATGGATGACACACCTTTTTTTTTTTTTTTGTCTGGACTTCGAGCGATTTTGTAGTATGAATCTACACAGCTTATATAGCAGTTTGATAAACCTCCTGTGGTTCGGGGGGGGGGCGATAGTACGTTTGCAATCGTCTGATATCATTTTCCCGGCAGAACTTGCATTCAAAGTTTATGTTAAGAATTTTTAGAATTCTGAATGTAACGTATACTTTTTGCTTACTACGTTTAATTTATTCTTAATTCGTTTTCTCTGGTTTACCTGATTAATTATATTTGGTTTATAATTCAGTCTAATATGTTTATGTAGGAGTCTAAATTCTGTATTCAGTCTAATATGTTCATGTGTTAAGAATTAAAATTAGAAAAACTTGGACAACATGGTCTTCATGCGAGAATCTCGTTTATTTCTTTAGTGTAATGTATTTCAACGTGTGCTAAAAAATTATCGGTCCATAAGAAAATTTCGAAGAGTTGGTGGTAAAAATTCAGCTATTTTTTTCCAAACTAATTTTTTTTTATTGCTCTCTATCTAAATACCATGCTAAATCATAAATGAGAAATAATATTAAATAACACTAATGAATAAATGAAATATTTTAAACAACTTGCTTTTAAATATGAAATTAAGATAAAGTGTTTCATCATTGAAGTACAAATATTATAAAGAATCAGTTCTAGTAGTTACACTTATATTTTTCAAAAAAACCCGTGGAAGAAGGATGGGAAAGATACAGTTTAACACCTACTTTAGTAACTTAGGTAGGCCCACCATCAAGCGAGCAGTAAAGCTCTCTGAACACTGGTAGCTCGGTAGAATTTCCAACAGAAATATAGCTGGAGAAAAACCACGAAATGGTAAAAAATAGACTCGGCGAATTCAAGTAAGTCCAATACATTATTATAGCAATTTTTATAGAGTTTTTATTTTTAAATATATTTGTGTGCCCCGATAAAATTTTGACCATTACTTTCTTGTTTGCACGCGAAAAGTGCAAAATTTAATATTTATTTTATTTTTAATTAATTTTTTGATTTCTCGGTTTCGTTCGTCTCTACGATATTGCATTTAGTAAAAAATAATTCAAATTAAAATTTAATTATTCTTTCAAAGAAATAAATAAAAAATAATTCCAAATTAAAATTTAATTATTCTTTCTAAAAGTGTGTGAAGTCTTGTTCTACGCGAATACTACTTCATTTAATTCGCTGTTAAGTCTTCCTTCTTTTCAGCAAGACCATTGGTATTCAGAGGTTTGTCAGAATATTCTTGGTTTTATTCGGCCCGAAGTTTGGAACATTTGTCAATTATATAAGCCATGGGGACGAATTTATTAGGTTACTTAGTTTCTTTTTTGATTTCTAGCTTACCAAAGGTTATTATGGTCCAAATTTAAAAGCTTCATAAATTAAATGTTATTGATGATAGGAGAGCTGCTGGCTTGTTTTTGAGATCAGAGCTTTCATAAACCAACGTATGAAAGCCGACTAGCCTTATAGTGGCTTAGAGTTAAAAATCTGAGGTTTACAGTTGATCTAGAGATTTGTTTAGTCTGGCTGTGAATGAAGCTGTTAGCTCCACGTAAGTTTGTATTTAAAGTAACTATATGTAAATAAACACACACACCACGTAAGTTTGTAGAAGATTCAGATCTATCTGCAGCCCTTGATAAAGATTGCACTTAGTTGGGTCTACGCGAAAAAGTTCTTTCCCGTTTGAGCTTTCGTTTAGTTCAGAATTCAAAACTCTTCTGCTGAATTCGAAATTCTGCAGCATTGCATCGTCGTTATCGACAATCACGCTATTTGTTTCTTGATTAAGTGTCACTAATCTACACTCAAGAGCCAAAACATTATGATCACCTGTCAGTAAAGAGTCGGGCCACCTTTGGCGCGCAACACAGCTTTAACCCGCCTTGGCATGGATGCCACAAGTCCTTGATAGATGGCCGGAGACAGATTGTACCAGATGTTGTAGCAACCGTCACGCAAATCCGAGATATTGCGAATTGGTGGTCTTTGACCTCTGAGCTGCCGTCCCATGACATCCCAAATGTGTTCTATCGGATTGAGATCCGGTGAATTAGGCGGTCATGACATTGACTGGAAATCAGTATCATGTTCCTGGAACCACTGCAACACAATTGTAGCCTTGTGACACGGGGCGTTGTCCTGTTGGAACATTCCATTTCCAGCTGGAAAAGCAGAGGCCATGCAAGGGTGCAACTGGTCCGCAATGATGTTCAGATACCTTGTAGCATTCTGCAACCGTAACTGTCGGCCATGATGTTTGCTGTGTTTGTTGCGCTTGTGATATATACTGATTATTACGGCGAAGGAAACATAAGAGTTCTATTTTTAATCATCGGCAGGATCTTGGAAGAGCTCCTGAATTTTCAAAGGTGTTTTCCGGAAAATCTTCATTTATTTCAGAAAATTTTCGCGAATATCCTCTGCATTGTCTCTTTCTCAAAGCTGGGAGTTCTCCTGTACCTGGGGGGTCTTGTCTTTCTTGCAATCTTTTGCAGCACTAAGACGGAGCGTTCAGATAAGTAGAACTTCTTTTCTCTAAGCTAAATCAAATATCTGTCACTAAAGTACCTTTAAATTCATTCATTTATTATGATCATTATTATTATTATGCGCATTTTATTATATTTTGGCATTAAATACTTAGTAATTGCTTTAAATCATGTGGTTCTTTTTTGGTTACCATCTCGTAGGGACGCTATCCTTATCAGTAGCCCTTATCAGTAGTGTTAGCCCTACCCATTGGGGCCCCTTTGAGGAATGTCTCGAGAGCTAAAAACACGATCTCGGGCCTCAATGAATGTACAGAGTTGTAGTTTTTGCTCCTTTAATCTATATTTCCTATCTATTTAAATTAAAAGCATATATTAATACAGTGTGCCTCAAATTGATAAAATAGTACACATATAATAAATTATGACCATTAACTTAATAAATAAATAAAATGCTTATTTTTTTTAAAAAAATTAATTAATAATAATAATAAAAAACTCTGTAATTTATTTACTTATTTATTTTTGCTGATATGTTCTCGCCTTGTTTTGGATTTATGATTTTATCTGATGGTGTTTTCTGAATAAATGTATGAATATGTTGGAAACCGCAATAGATTGATGTTACTTTAGTTAATGTATACACTTTTGCCTGATATTATATGTATCTTGATCTTATGTGATTCTGTTACTGTATCTCAAGGTAGATGGCTAAACATATCGTTTCCTAGTGTTCCCATGTTAGAGGAAAAAAGTTTAAATTTAAAAAAATTTTTTAATTTTAGGTTCCCTGTCTATAGCAAAAGTTAGCCTTCTAAACAAGACTTATAACTGTTATGTGACTAGACCCCCCAAAATTTATTATTTTATTATATTTATTTTCCCCCATCTTTACCTCTATTTAGCTTTACAAAACACACTCACTACTACGCACCTGGAAGACTGTATTTAATGTAAATGATAAACGGCTTCCTTCCGTTTTGACTACACTCATGAACACAATCGTATTTTTTTTTTTTTAGGGAAATTTCTCTTACTTCCTTTTCCTTTTCCTTCTATAGGCCCTTTTTTTTTAATTATAAATAAATTTTTTTTCGTCTCCATTACTTTTGGGCCATTTATTTTCACTTTATTTTGTCCATCTTTTCTTCCTGGCCTTTCGAATCGTAAAAATACGAATTCTTTTACTCTCTGAATACGAAATGCCCCCTTTCTTATACTTCTTCGCACCTGCTTGATTTTCGCCCCGGGCGAAGATTAGCGGTGAACAAAGAATGTCTTTTTGCGCTGTTGTTGCGCTTGTGTAGAAGCTTTATATATTTGTGCATATTGATTTTTGGTGTCTAAACGTGCTGTATTTGGAATCTACAGGCCTTCCGGTTTGTGAAGATGTCTTACGTTTAAGGATTCGAGGATTTTTGACCGAGTTACAAGCATTTTAAGATTTCATGCGTATTTAGGAGCTCATTTGCATATGACTTTGGAAGTTTTGGCCTGTATTCTTTTACATCGACTTGGTAAAGTACTTTTGTTTTGATATTTAGTTTCTATACATCTTTTACTATCTGTATAGTGAATTTGATTTATTTTCATGGCCTATTTTTAAAGTTATTTGTATTTGAAAATTTGATACTACGTTTTGTTTACGTTTGAATCTTTGTGATTTTGCACCGCGGGCATGTCAACTTTTAGCCAACTGGAAAATATTGAAAATTTGGATTTTTAAGTGTTATGCCAGGAGAGACTTATATATATATATATATAAGTTGGTGCACTGATTATATATGTTTTTCAGCCCGTTGGAACAATTTTTGGATTTTCCGCATGTAAGATTGATTTTATATTTTACTATGAATGCTTTTGAGATTTGAGGTGTTTTTTAAGTATTTTTGATTATTTTAATTTGTAAAGCTCAGTATTTTCAGCTTTTAAGGTGTTTTAGTTTTATTTACTCCTGATATTTATACAATTGGATTGTTCGGATGCTAAAGCTGGATAGATTTAATTGTGCTGTAGAAACATTTTGGATGCGTTTTGCAATCATCTTAATTTTGTAGAATGTATATGTTTTTGTGTGTGTTTCTGTTTATGTGATACAAACCACTCTGTATTTTACTGAATTTTATTGTATATATGAGAGTTCTTGTCATTTTAACTAATTTTAAATTGTAATTATTGTAAATCTTACATTTGTATATATGTTTTTATTCTGAAAATTTTAATACGGCCCCGTCGCAGTTATATTAGTGAATAATTGTGTGAACTTTTCGTGATTTTTGTGATGAGTCAACTGCAGAGTAATAAGGACAGTAAACTTGTGGTAGCTGAGGGAGAGACTTTGGAGAGTTCGGATGAAATAAAAGAAATTATGGACTGTAGTAATGATAGACCTAACGATGAAGGAAAAATTGAGAGTGTACTCGTTGCTGTTAGATCATTATATGATTTTGTAGACAAGTTAAAAGCTAGACGAGTCTCACGGGAAATTACCGATGGTTTAGCTAGAGGTATAGATAAAGTTTTGGATTTGCTTGTCTCACAGAATTTAAAGACTATTGAAGAGGACATGGTGCAATCAAGAACCAATATTTTATTTGATATTAAACAGGATATAGATGAAATTAAGGTTATTTTGCAGAAAGAAAGATCGAGATACATGTGAAATGAGGGATAGAAAGAATAAAGTATTGGATGTAAATGATTGGAGAGAAAATGAATTAATAGTTAAACCAGCTGCGAATGGCGTTGATGTATACGAGGAGTTAATTGCTAACGTTAGACCAGAGGATGTTGATATAAAAATAATGAGCTCCCATACGAGAAAGAATGGTGATTTGGTGATGAGGTTTAAAGATAGCAGAGAAGTAGACACGGTACAGAATGTTATTGAATCCAGGGAAAATTTAAGGGATAAACTTTATACAAGGAAGAAAAGGTTTATACAACCGAAGATTATTGTATATGGCGTATGCAATTTAATAGATGATAAGGAGATTATGGATAAAATGAAGGAGGAGTGCGTTTGTGATGGAAGTTGTGTTCGTCCTCTCTTTAGACAAAAATGTAAAGAGTCCGACGAGATTTCTCATCGCGTTTTCCGTGTAGACCCTCGATGTCAAGCTGTTGTTGTCCTGGAAGACTGCAGAGTTCGTATAGGTTGGAAGGCATATTCGGCTAAGCTCTATCTTAATCCGAAGAGGTGTCCTGCGTTGCTTTCGATTCGGACATACTACCAAAAATTGTAAAAATGAAATTGTATGTTTTAGATGTTCTGAACCACATGAAGTTAAAAAATGTAAAATGGATGTAGAGATTTGTGTAAACTGTAAGAACTCTAACTCGAAATATGGTACTCATTTGGATGTTCATCACCATGTTTTATCACGAGATTGTGAACTATACAAACGTGAAGTTAGATTTATTTCAGAACATATACGTTTAGTGGAAATGATTTATTTTAGGTTTTAAGGGTTAGAACTGCGATTGGGCTGTTTTATTATATTTTATACTGATCATAATCTTATGGTTTATAATTTTTTGTTTTTTATTATTGGCTATTGTACTGTTCTCTTGATTATGAAAGTGCTAAATATAAACTTGAATCACTGTGCGGTGGCAGCTTGCCAGTTGGCTGCTGTTGAGGATATTTTGGAACAGAAGTTTGACTTGATAACTGTCCAGGAGCCCTATTATGTAAATACAGAAATCCCATATTAAAAATCTATGTGACACACTTCCTTGGAATAATCCTTTTTTTGATTTATAAACTTATGAATAAATATACAGCGCAAACCAAGAATAAATGCTTCTTAAAATACTCTAGTATTGTTACCATAGCAACTCTGGCGCTAGATTCACTTAACAGTATTACAGTGGATGGACAAAAATTTGGAAACACCTTGTGAAATGCATGTTTGAAAAGAAAGATTGATTTTAATGAAATATGTAGATGGCGCTGGCGTTTTTGACTACTGACGCCACCTATACAACTTCGTAAATGTGCTAAACAGTTCAGTTGTTGTCGGAGTACTGTTATGTGAGGTTGTCATTGCATTATGTCAGAGTTAACAGACTTCGAACGTGGGCAAATTGTTGGAGCACGTATGGTAGGTGCTTCCGTAAGCAAGGTAGCCGAGGTGTTTAGTGTTTCAAGAGGTACTGTATCGAAGATTTATTCCGCATATTTGAAAAGCGGAAAAACATCATCTGCTAAATCACAGCGCGGACGAAATTGTGTCCTGAGTTATCGTGACAGACAATCATTAAGGGCAATTGTGACGAAAAATAAGAAGACCACAGCTGCAAAAGTTACTGCTGAAATGAATGTTGTGTTACCGAACCCTGTGAGTACCAAAACAATTAGAAGGGAGCTTCATAAACAGGGAATTGCTGGCCGTGCTGCAATTGAGAAGCCACTCATCAGTGATGCTAATGCCCGTAACAGGAAAAGGTGGTGTTTAAGTCATAAAGCCTGGACTATAGAACAGTGGAAGCGAGTAATATGGTCTGACGAGTCTTCTTTCACATTGTTTCCCACTTCTGGCCGAGTTTACGTCTGGAGAACGCCATCTCAAGCCTATAATACAGACTGCTTGTTGCCAAAAGTGAAGCATGGCGGGGGTTCTGTTATGGTTTGGGCAGCCATATCGTGGTTCTCTGCTAGCCCCATGATAACTGTGTCAGGTCACATGACTGCCAAGACTTATGTGAACATTTTGGCCGATCAAGTTCATCCCATGGTACAAACTTTGTTCCCCGATGGTGATGGTGTCTTCCAAGACGACAAAGTCCCTGTTGACACAGCTCACATTGTCCAGGACTGGTTTTTTGAGCACGAGGATGAGTTGTCCCATCTCCCCTGTCCACCACAGTCACCAGACCTGAATATTATCGAACCTTTGTGGTCTACATTGGAAAGGAAAGTGCGTTCTCGTTATCCACCGCCAACATCGTTATCTGAACTTGCCACCCTTTTGCAGGAAGAATGGTATAATATTCCCTTGGCAAACATACAGGAACTGTATTTATCCATTCCGAGAAGACTGCAAGCTGTTTTGGATGCCAACGGGTTTCCTACACCATATTAAGCAAAGAAACATGTTTTTTAAAGGTGTTTCCATATTTCGTTCATATTATAACTCATAATGCACAAAATTTATATCATTTAAAGAATAGAATTATCTAACCGTTGCCACATGTTCTGTTCAAATACTATAATAAAGCTAGAATGATGTATAAAAGAAATTAAGCAAACGAAACAAAAGAAACAGTTTTGGTACTTACGTATTATCGCAACCAGGTTGGCGCGATTTGTAAATTTGAGTAAAAAAGTATGAATAGAAAGAAAATGTACATTTATTAATTACAGATAATTTTTAATACAGTTTTTTATATTATTTTGTTTTAAAATATAAAATAGCAATTAAACCCTTCCGGTTTCGAATTTGAATAAGTTGCAGAATTATTTTTTCGGCGGAAATCTTTTGGCTATTGCTTTTAGCACTGATTGAAAAAACCGTCTTCGCCATTAACAGCTTGAGCTTGGCGCCATATAAATTCGATAAGGTATGAGTCAAGATGATGACGGGCTGTTCCTCTCTGTTTTTTGTTGCGCCATTTGGCTGAGCCCCACATGCGCTCTACATGTTGTGTGTGAACGCCCGTGTTGGGATCCACAAAGTTATATTTGTGATTAACAGTTCCATGCAGAAATCCAGCATTTTCGAACTCACTTGTATTGTATCCTTTCCAGCAATCCGAATAAATGATGCTTCCTTCCTTGATATTTTCGCAAATTTTTTCCATGAGGGTAACGGCGCTTCTGTTAGGTACAGTAACCAAAAAAGTCTCTTTCTTTTTTCGGCAAATTCCGCCGAAAACCCATTGCTGTGGTAGTACACGCCCCATAACACGTAGGGTTGCCGTAAGTAGGGTCGCCAAATTTGGCGATTTATGCGAATTTTGGCCTGGTTGCGTTAATACGTAAGTACCACAGTTTTTCACAGACGATTGAGTATTTCTCATTCCATTAATTCAGTTCTCACTTCGCAAGAAGGCAAAAATTAAAAATTACGAAGTAAATCTTAAACACTTATTTCCTCGAAAAGATTCCAGAAAGGAATAAGCATGATTTAATTCGCAATAATAAATGAAGGCGTTATCTTTGTTGTTGCGAAGCTAAGTTTCTCTAGATTGGCAACAAATTCACTAGTCTGCTGTTTCAAATGTAAACAATCAATGGCCGCCATAAAAAAAAGGCTTAGCGGCACTTAAACAACTTTAAAATTGTTGATAATTCTAAAAATATTGCATACAGATTTACTAAAGTCATAAAAACCTTAACCGGAAGATAAAAACAACATAATTCAATTATTTTTAAAGCAAAAAATGTACAATTTACAAACATATAAGAGTAAAGAAACTGAGATCACTGAGCCGGGTAACAGAGTGGATACATATATAAATATATTTATATAATTTTGGTGCGGCCGATTGCAACCAAAATATACCTGAGGTG